GGGAACGTTCCCCTAAATTTCCAGCTTCCTAGCTTTTGTGGTTCCCGAGTTGAAAGTTGCGGACAATTTACTGCAGACACACAAACACACATACAGACAACCCCGTGATAATATGCGTTTTGTACTGCTGTTACACAGCACAAAAGGCATAATAAAAATGAAGGCAGTTCATAACAATCCAGAGTCCTTTGTACCTGGCTCAATTGTATTCACCGATCACGTAACGCTTTTTTAAATAAAAAAACTGAAACTGAAGATGGTGGGCAGACTGGGGTGGCGAGTGGGGAGGAGCAACGGGAAGGGAGGAAACTAACTGAGAATCGCTTCCGTAGCTAGGTTCCACAGCCAGCGAATCGATGTTTAGGAGAGGGGCGGCTTCGGCACTAAAACAAGACTCAAAAACCCAGTTGTGACAGCTGTGCTCCATCAATCTAATGCAGCACTATCAGAAATGCGCAAGAAATCAAGGCAATTAACTTACGCGCATCACAGCGATCAAATCTGCAGTGAAATGACGAAGGGACGCATTGAAAAGGAAAAGTTAACTGGACGGAATAGAACAATCAACAAGACGATAAAAGCCATGGGATGCAATGCACGCTCTACAAGAACATTTAGAAAAACCTCAGAGTTTGTTTCGATAAAGTGAACGCGCTGCACTCACCTCCAGTTCCCATCTTCGTATTTGCCCAAAATCATCAGGACAAGCGTGAGTGTTGCCATAATCGGTTTGATGATGCAAAACTGAAGTGTTGCCTGCTTGCAAAAACGCAAAAACTCGATGGTATACTGCTTGCCAGCTAAGCAGCACGTGCACGTGTAATAGGTGGTAGGCCTGCAACGTGTAAGTGCTCAGTGAAAATGGCTGTCGAAAAGCCAAACAATATGCGAAATTCAGAAGGAAAAAAAAGCAATTTCCTTGGTAACTTCAGCCAAGCAAAGTGCCTATGCGCAAGTGTAGTGAGGGTATGCTGTGGCGAATTTCGCTGATGCTATTTCGATCAAAAATGGCGCATCGTTCGTTTTTAGCGAAAAATAAAT